AATAGAATTCCATTGGCAATCATTCCTCATCAATTTCTAGATTTTGTTATTTATCCATAGGTTTATTAATGAATCACTGTAAAATCTCGACAAACGACATTATTCATTTATAATAGATAGGTCTGGCCACCCATTTTTTTATTAAAAGGCCTTATGAAATAGGACCTCCGTCATAGAATCTACAATATGAGATAATGGTCCCAATAACTGATTTAACACGAAATGTAATAGCTTGATTAACGGCAATTTTGAGTAAAAGACGGATCTAAAAACTTGTATAATAGATACGGATGATTCTCATATACCATACAGTTACAATTTAATTCAGTGACTATAATTCGTGTAAAAAGGATAGATTACACATGATATAATAATGATAAAACACTAACTGAGGTTATTGGACGTTGGCTCTTCGTCGTCCTTTATTTTTGATTCGACCGAGAGCGAAGAAAGGGTCCAAAACGGCTCCAAACAACGTTAGGCTTAGTATCAGTCAGCAGTCAGGATTTCTTTGTAGACACCTGTGATAATGCAAATGGAGTCTACCATAACGTCAGTAATAATTCATCGTTTTATCATAATAACGGTTAGTTATTATGGCGAGTGGGTTTTACCGAAAATGAACCAATTACTATAATAGGCAGTGATTGATAGTCCGAATAATATAGCCATAATCTTTGTCAAACTGTCTCTGGCTGTGTCTCTGACTTTAGGCAACAGTATTTACAATCCAAATGAAAACCAAATCTCAATTCAGGCACCTCAAGGCACTGTCTCAAACTTAGAAAAGACAATAGAGCTCCAAATAATGATCTTTGAAACAAAAATTCTAAGAGACTCGATCAATACATTAAAAGTGCCACTTTTTCATATGAGGAAAAGGAAGCCATTATGACTTTCATATTTAATTATTCTCGTCTCGTTCTGTACGTCTGACCATTTTCTATTTTTAGACGTTTAGTTTTTCTTAAAATAAGGGTATCTATTCTACTCAATGTACATCATCTCTTCCTTGGAGCCGCAATTTTGGGCATTTTGATTTTTTTTTCAAATGAAGATGTTTATTTTTCGAGCTTAAGCATTTCAGAAATTGGAAATCAAATGAAGATGTCCTATCAGTAGCGCAACCACTGCATCCCGCGATAATCTTTTATGTCTGATATCTAGATACAAAATCACTAAAAACAAACAACACTTATTTACACTAAAATAATGTTTCTCTTACTAAAAGATCTATGCAAATCATGATTTTGCATCTTCAATCAAACCTGCAACCTTATGCAAACATGAAAAAGTTCATGCTTTGAAGCATGACTTCTCTTCATTTGCATTTTCAAGTCTTTTAATCAATAATGCCTGTATTTCGGAATTAAAATAAACATCTTGAGTTGAAAAACATTGTCATTGAAACACGCAATATCCCAAATCATAAAGAAAACGTTAGTAACGTTTCCAAGTAGGAAAAATTAGTGGATACCCTTACTAAGTAAAAAATATCAAACAAATATAGCGACAGTACTGTACAGTGAAATTTTGGTACCTATAGCATGTGAAAATCTTTCCCCGTAAACAAGTGTACATGTTCTACTTTAGTTTCAGTTATAAATCTTTGCAAATCTTCTGATTTTTTCATTATATTTACCATAGAAATCAATCCTTTTTTCAGATAAAAATAAAAGCAGTCCATATAGTCAAATAATTTATTTTTTCATAAGAATATTGTCGATGAGTTTGATAAGTAAATAAACGCTATGCGACCATAAATTCAAAGCAAATTAATAAACATGATCGCCATGGTCAACCGACAACGATTACAAGCTATTTTTTTTTTTTTTTTTCATTTGTTTGAAAATAACATCACGTCGCAATATTAACCCTTTTACCGACGGAAAGAATAGGAAGTCGTACATTTCTCAAGTATGAAAAACACAACCAACTAAAACATGACCACATTTGATGTCGTCTCACGATAGACCCTTAAAAATTCCCCGTTTAAAATATCTTGTGAGATATAAAAATACACTTTGACGCAGTTTCGTAGGAAGAGTCGAGGCACGGGTGGTGCATTTTTATTTTCGGTGTGTCACATTTTATAACATTTTGTTTCACGGGTTTGGAGTTGTTATCATTAACCCGTGAAACAAAGTGTGATAGTCAAATGAAATAATGTGTGATACATCGAAAAGATAAAGAAACAAGTGCAAAAAAATAACAGAATAAAGAGTAATAAATAAAGAGAAATAAAGTGTATTTCACGGATTTATGGTTATCTTTTGACGCCAAGCTCTCTATGCTCTAAGGACAGTAGTTTAGCATGAAGCTCGTGGTCCCGGTGAGCTCGGGGTTCCTGTGGAGTCCTGTTGTGAGGGACAGGTAGCCCAAAAAAGGAAGTCTGTATCGAAGGACATTACTGTAAAGTGGTTCAACAGGAATGAAATACTAGTCTCCTTCGCAGCCTACCCTTTTGTCGGGCTTCCTGTTGGACAGGAAGCCCGACAAAAGGGTAGGTTGCGAAGGAGACTAATGAAATACATGCATATCAATGAATCAGTGGTCTAAGAAGGTTGCTCTTCGTGTAGTGGCAAATACGATAATCTTGCCTATGGAAGTTTTATCTGAACTAGTTTTTGGTGATTTTGGATCTATTTTTGAAACTTTGAATCGCTTGAAATTTTCAGGAATTATGGGAAAAAGATTTAACAATCCGCCATTTTATTTTTCTCCATATTTGGCATTGATATTGTCAGGAAGCTCCAAAAGCAAAGGGATCCCGCAGGATAAAGTTTGAAGTTTATGAAAGGCAGGTTGGTGACTATACAACAAATCTTAACAAGCAAATTTGACACTTTTTCATCCTGGAGTCAAAAAGTAAAAGACCTCCATCGTTCTCTGGACCGCGAAATACTAAGCAATTAAGTTTTTAAGAGAACTTTGTGGGAGCCTGACGTAAAAACGCCAGTTCTGTGCTACATTCAATAAGGTCCACTTAGCTATTGTCTTAAGACAAATACGGAAAACCTTAATAAGTTTACAGTAACGGGATAAAATATGACAAGAAAGCCGTAAAATTAGTTCATCTCCGGATATTCTTTCAATAAAACATGAAAATGACAATAATGTCCTTAGACATTACAAAAAGAGCTAAAAATTGAAGATCAACCTAACTTAACTTATGACGAAGTAAATGTGAATAAGATATTTACTTTGGGAGAAATTCTGCATTTTGAGCTAGCTGTCACAGAGAAATACTTGTTTTGAAAACGATTGAAATTTGATTGAGTGACGTCATTCATAATTTAAATGCTTATAATTTCACAAGGTTTGACTGATCTGCTTCCTATAAAACCAAGCCGTGTGTTGCTTTGTAGCCCTAGAATTGTGAGATACGAATCTCCGAAAACTTTTCAAGTAATTCTAAATTTTTATTCTAAATTCTTTATTTTAATCAATCATATTCATCGCTATGCTACCTTATCAAAAAATCAACAAAAATGAATTAAATGAGAATCGATATTTGTAACATTTTGACATTTCAATCTTCTAGCAGTGAAAATATCCGTTCTCACTTTCTGTTTATCAATAAAACCTCGTGGTTAAGACGAAAATAAGAAATTTGAAGATTAGAAGGTCCCTACCGCCCGCTTCAGTTTGAGGCTTATTATTTCAATGGCCCGAGAGTCATCCAATAATGAAGCCGTGTGTTAATGATTTGCTTGGTTCCTCCCAGTCTACAGCGTTTTGGTCGCAATAAAATTTCATTCATTTATTTATAGCGCCTGCTAAGTGGTCGTATTTCAGCACTATCTATTGCTAATCTCTATGGATGGCTAAAATTGGTCAAAACTCCACCAAACTGTGATAATATATTAAATTGTACATCAGATCTGGTCGAGTGGAGACCTCTATCCTATCCATGCACTGAAAACACCTTTATTGATCTTTGAACAGAGAAACTTAGCAGGTGAGAGTGGATTTCTCTTGTAAAAGTATACAACTTAGTCTATTCCGAGTACACAGTCGATACATAAGTTTGATATATGAAATGGTAAGGTTTTTACGGATTATTCCTCGCTATCAGTTCTGATACATGTTGCTCTTTTGAGAGTCTGCAAAGTGGAAATTCAGAAAAAGGATGTTTTTTGAATTGTCAAAAACACAAAAATAAACGTTTAAATAGCATTTTAATGAAAAGACAATAAAAGGAGGTATTCTAATTTTTGAGCCAATATTTTTTATTCGAGTTTATTTTTGTAATAGTCGCAGTTAGTTTCTTTTTAAGTGACTAGATTGATAGGATTTTTTCGAAAAACTCATTTCTGTCTTAAAACAGGTGGAAGCCTCTGTTTTCTAAGCGGATTTTGTATTATGTGCCATGGCACGGAACGGCCGCAGTGACAAAACGCGCTATATTCATGGAAGCGAAGCCAGTGAAAATCATACAGATTGAATACAGCTCAACTAGGTACAGGCGATCCCAGTTTTTTTTAATTTCACAATAATGTGTAATCTGCTTCCATCATATAGGAAACCTAGCAAAAAAATTTTAATTGCAAAATTGTTCAACTAAAAATTAGTCCCTTTATGAATAAAATGATAGGTTACGAATGATACAATTCAACCTTCTGTCTAACAATACTGCAAAAAAGAACTAATAAAAAACTTATTATTGCTAACTTCGAAAATGAATGAAAAAATAATAAAAAACTTAATTCTTAGTTTTTATTAGATTTAAAGTTTTATTCCTGTYGCAGAAATAATTACTACATCATCAATCTTTTAAACCCACGCTAATTGCGCTGTGATAGTATTTTTTTTATATCTAATTTCTAGCTGAGCAAAACAAATAGATAATTCCAAGGTGACTCCAAAGAGAACAACAAAATCATGAAAATTTGATAAAATTTAATATGCTAATGTAATCTCTGTAAATAATTTCCTCAGTTTAATTAACTATTTTTATATGCAGTCTGTCTAATTTGTTGACAGTAACCCACAAGGTYTTAATTTGTTTTATCAACCAGGGCAGCTCTACGAAAGTTCAATAGCGCTATYAATGTTTCTGATCCATCAGATAAATCCTTATCCGGCGGATAAAAAGCCACATACAAAATCTACGAAGTTGATAATTATCCAGTTAGACCTAATCGGCTTCAACCGGCCAATTCAAACCACCCGGGAGTAAGTTTCATTGTTCGTTGTATTTTCATTTCACAGTTGAATTMTTAGAAACAAATGAGTTCTTTTTACCACAGGATTTGAATTGGTATAACGTACCTACATACTGTTACAAGATATTTTCGGGAACTTGTAAGCTGTGGGACTTCTCAAATAGAGCTGGTACTTGGATCAAGATACTTTTTAATATCAGACTTTAGAATGAAGTTTACACACTGAGCATATCTAACAACAACTAACTGTACAAGATGTCAATCTACCTATATAGTGGATATCTTACAAGTAGGATGACAGCAAATTGTAGTCTCGTTATACTGTCAAACTTGTAGTTCTTATCCGACAGTTACAATGGAATATTCGAAATTGATAGAAAAGATTAGAGGTAAACCAAGGAGTCACAAGGTGCAACCAGACTTTAGCTTAGTTGAGGCACACAACTCCAACAAGACAAAATAGAAAACCTATCGAAATAGTAACCTAAATTATATTCGAGACAAATGTATTGGAATCCTAAAAGACCTTAAAACAGCTAGGAGAAACGTGATATGTACGAAATGGATGTCATATTTTATGTATAACCAATATAATGTCAAATTAAGTATCTGTTCTATTAAAGCAAAACCGCAAGTGGAGCTTGAAGGTAACCTAGTAACGAGYTTACTAGAAAACTAATTCATAAATATAGATCCGATAATGTTGTCTTATAACAATACCACGCCGTTAGCCGATTAGGTCTATTGAGRTAGACCTTTATCAGGAATTTTATCAGGAATAACCGTTCTCAAATCGACCTCTATCTATCAGCGCCCAACCTTTATTAAAATACGCTGCCATTTTGGAAATCCTCAATGTAACCGTCTGTAAAAGTATACAACAGTTTTTCATTGACGTTTTTTTTTTCTGTACGTGGTTCTTATCAATCTCACACAAAACATCTATTTAATGTGTTTCAGTTGCCWAGCACCAAAAAGCTACAAATAAGTTGAGACGCGGTCAAACTATACAACCCCAAGAACTCGGGCTCAAGTTAAATATAGTCAACCCACGCATCCATATGAATACTAACTCGTTCTTCTTGACGCTGGTGATTTCCCCGCAAGGCGGAAATTAAAGCAGATAATCACTTTTGGACTATTTTTAATGTCGTAAGATCCTGTCGTAATTTCATCCGCGTTTTTCCCCCCTAACTCGGTTTAATATATCGATGAGTACACTTACTGAACGATATCATTTTACCATACAAAATTAAAGGTACGTTTAATTTTTCCAACTGCAAAGACTAAAATATCAAGCGATGCCAAGTTTAAAAACACAATTACTGACGAAAAAGCTAGGTGTTAAGTTACGAAAAAAGTCTCAAGATAGTCCTTGCTAGGCCGGATGTTGCGAATTAGTTTAAAGGCTTTTTATCTAATATAGCTTCAATCCTTCAATTCGTGTCTTGTATACGTCAAAGTAGAAGACGAAAAACAGCTGTCAGTTTGAAACATGTCAGTGAACAAAAGCATACTTGTTCTGACGTGAAGCTSTTCTGTAGTGGGCTGTGCAGTTGATTAACCTTCTTTTCGAGTCAATTAATCTTTCATAAATGGTAAGCTCAATCAAAAGAAGTCGAATAAATACATATTTTATCGACATACTAATTTTCGTGTTTTTTTACGAAATTAATCTCATATATACTGAGTTTTAATTCCGCATTTTATCATTAGCTGTTTGCCATTTTCATTATATCAGTATATATACTAGTCTATGGATCAAAATTTACTTCTT